CTCATGCGCGCCGTCGAGTCGCGGTCGCGCCGCGGTGCGCCCGCGAGCCCCCGGGGAGGCGACAGGCCCAAGGAGAACAAGACGCCCCCGCGCGACGGCAAGCGGGGCCCCGGCTTCCGCCGCAACCAGGCGGACCCGGGGCCCTACCCGCGGCCGCGCGCCGCGGGCGTGCCCCGCGTCGCCTACCTCGCCGGCCGCGACCACGCGCCCGCCGCGAAGATCCAGGCCGCGCTCCGCGGCTCGCGGACGCGGCGCCAGCTCGCGCGCCAGCCGAAGCCCAACTGGGAGCCGCGGCCCGCGGCGGGCGCGCGGCGGCCGGGCCAGGCCGGCTGGTGGGGCTAGGCGCGCTAACGCACCGACGCCGCGCGGCGATCGGCGCCGGCACGGGATGTCGAGCCGCGCGCGCCGCCGTCGACCCGAGGCGCCGCGCGGCTCCGAGTCGTCCTCGTCCGCCGCGGCGTCCTCGCCGTCCGACGCGCGCGCGGCAGAGTAGGAGCTCCCCCCGCGACGAGGCGGCTCCACGCGCTCCGCGTCGACCGCCTCGACGCGCGCGCGGACGCCCAGCAGCGCGACGCCGCGGCCCTCGCGCGACGGTTCGTCGAGGCCGAGGCTCACCAACGCGCCCGGGAAGGTGAGGGAATCCTGATTAGGGGCCTACTCCTACTTATTGGCGAGGCACTTTTCCTTGCTCTTCTTCCACTTGCAGCCCGCCTGCTTGCACTTTTTGGCTGGCCTCGTTGAATGTGTCGTCCGTGAGCACGCAATCTTCATAGTTGTCGGCGTAATACTCATTATCCATCCAGTCCTGCCGCACGCAGAACAGGAACGACATGGCCGTCACCTTGGACGTGTCCCACCTGCTGATGGGGCCGTACTGGGCCTTGGCGTTGTCGGAGTCCTCGTCCCAAGCGCCGACTGCGGCCTTGAGCTCGTCGTTGTTCGCAAAGGAGAACCCGCAGTGGAGAGGTGTCGCGGCGGTGGTGCCCCACTCGCGGTGGAGCTCGTTGCTGAGCAGGGCTTTCGCCTGGTCGGGGCACGCGCAGCCCATGTGGATCCAACGCGACTCGGAGAGCGCGGTCGCGACGTCCGCGAGCAGGGACGAGACGTCCTTGGAGGCCTCGGAAAACTGGCCGAAGACGAGGCCGACGCAGCCGCCGAGGGAGCTCAGCGCGCGGAGCATCGGGCCGTCGGAGACGCCGTTGATCTCATACTCCACGCCGGCCTTGACGGGCCCGCGCTTGGAGTACCACGGCTTTCGCCATAATAGCTGCGGCAGAGCGAGGATCCACAGGAGCGCGCGGTCGCGCCGCTCCTGTCCTTGATCCTGCTCCGCCAGGAACCTCGCGTGGACGTCGGCGACCGCCGCGGCCCAGGGCTCGACGAGGCTCTTGTGGGGCACCCGGCAGAGCGCGAACCCGGACGCGGCGAGGGCCTCGGCAGGCACGTCGTCGATGGCGGTCCACTGGTCAGCCTCGACGGGCGGCCTCCGCGTCGGCCAGGGCGGCCGGGAACGCGCCTCGGTCTCGGCGAGCTCGCGCTCGCGCGCGGCCTGTCCGCTCGACAAAGCCAGCCTCGCGTCCGCGACCACGGCCTCGACCGCGGCCCGTTCCGCTTTTTTCAGCGCCGCCTCGAGCGCCTCCTCGGCGATCCGGCGGGAGCGGCGCGGCGGCTCGGGAGCCACGGGCGCGACGGGCAGGTCCGCCAACGCGGCACGCGCCGCCGCGAGGTGCGGCATGAGCGGCGCGTGCTGCGTCGCCTCGTAGGCGCCGGCCATCTCGCGGAACGTCACGGCGAGGACGCCCGTCTCCTCGGAGTGCGCGTCGCCCGGCGGCGCCCGCTGGCCCGACCGCAAGGAGGGCATGGTGCTGCTGCGCATGCGGCTGGGTGTGTCGCTCATGCGGCTGCTGCGCATGGGTCGCGCTGCCGAG